TTTTTTTGACCAGAAAGTCCGATAGTGTCAGTCAGACCTACTGACCAGACACCCAAAGTCCAGTTATTGCAGGCAGGGGAGGTGGGGAGGACCGGAGTCATCACCTACGCCAGCTCCTATTCAGCCAGGACAACTGCCTACCTGCATCGGGCGGATGCAGCTCTCAGCACCGGCTCTGCAAGTGAGTCCCTCCTGACCCACACAGGGAGAGGGGAGAGGACAAAAGCAGTGAGCAATGGAGGTAGGGGTAAAGAGGAGTGAACAGGGAGTGGGGCCTCAGGGGAAGGGGCGGGGCAGGGGAGGTTCTGGGACTCTTGCTGGAGTGTCCGGTTTTTAAATATTACAAAATTGGCAACCCTCCCAGGTGGCCAATAGAGCAGGAACACAATTTAAGTCAGCACTGGGGGCCATATGAGCTCCTGCAGCCCCTGAATAAGGCAAGGCGCAAGCTGCCTCCCTTCAGTGTCTGTACTAACACAGGGATGAACTGGGCCCTTGATGTTTAGGAGGCTGAGAGGTGCTTATACTACTGTGTGAGCAGGCTCCTTTGGGGCCACTTTTGTAGACTTACTCTGATAAACGCTTCACAAGAGTATAGGGATACAAGTACTGTATGCTGGCTTCTCACGAAATGCTCTTTACACGTATAACATAGGGACCAGAGAGCTGATGCTTTTCAGCAGCAGGCCTTTGCGTCTGATCCCCATAAAGGATGTGCTGTGTATGTATCAGACTGGGAATGGAGCACTTGCTTCCCCCAAGCACATCACGGGGGGGGTTGCTTGGATTCTCTGAAAAGCAAGCTTTTAATCTTTCTAAACAAATTTGTGAGAGGAGACATCTGAGGTTTCTACCGTTACGGGGCTGAAGGTGAGATTTCAATCTCACTGGGGCTGGAGCAGAAAGCAGAGGGCTTTTTAATGTGTTTCTAATGCCCTTTTGCCCAGGAAATATTGCTTCCCACAAGTGTGCAGCTCACTAATCACAGAGAAAGATGCACTAAGGGGAATTTCTTTTAAAAACAGAAGGCATCTACTGAGCTATTATAGCACTTCCTTTCCCCCGTGCACGAGCTGCAGCATTCACATGTTTCTTACCATTGTAAATCCTCCCTAGGGTTTGTTCTGCTAGCATGGAGCCACAAGTTTTTCCGTCCAAAATATCTGTTTACATGCTAATTTACTGAGATTGGAAACCAAACCACTCAACCTACACCCTGCATAGCCTAATTATAATGCAGCAATCTGACTCTGTCAACATCCTGCATGCTTTATAATAAAGTGCTGGCCAGTTAGACCAGTGGTCAGTAATCCATGCTGACATGGGACGGGGGGGAGGCAGGATGACTTAGATGATTCCTGTTTTGATCTCTCAAGCCAGTAGGCTGGGAACACTGTGAGGCAGCCCACGCAGCCTCTAGGGTGATGAAAGATGCCTTGCATTGTTCATAAGTGACTTCATTGGATAGGCTAGAATGGCATTGCTGAGGCACCAAAGGAAGACCTGTGATGGGTCTTATGGTTAAGACATGGTATTGGGACTTGAGATCTGGGTTCAAATCCTGGCTGTGTCACAGGCTCCTGGTGTGACCCTCAGCAAATCACTTGTATGGCCAGATTTGCAAAAGAGGGCAAGACTTTGCATCTCACATTGTTCTCAGTGGGACCTGCTGGGTCGTGATTGCTTTTGAAAATCTGGCCCTTAATCTCTCGCTCTTTAGTTCCCCCTTTGTCAAATGGGGATATAACTTCCTTTCTCCCAACTTTTGTCTGTTGTAAGTTCTTTGGGACAGGGCCTGTTTCATGCTGTGTGTTGATGCGGTGTCTAATGCAATAGGGCTCTGACCATGAACGTGGCCTACAGGTACTTCCATAGTATAAATAATTCCTAGTTGCTTGAAACTTCAGGGGCTCCAGAGTGAGACTAATATCTCTTTTCTGCTCAGTATGGTGGCTTCTACTTCCCAAAGGCTCAGAAACACCAAGTGTAAATTAAAAACACTATTGAATCTGTTTCCGAGGGTATTTGCAGCAGGTGTTTCAGTCTTCCCCTGTGCAGTGTCAGAATAGAGCACAGAGCAAAACATTTATCTCTGAATTATTTAGCACCTATTGTCTTCAGAGATCCCTACAGCAGCTTAGCCCTGGATCTGCCTTGAAAGAAAATATATCCTCTAATTTAAAAAATGTGAGCTGAGTCATTGGAATGAGCCAGGCCATGTGGAAAATGGGGTCCAGAAACAAAGGTCTCACTGTGTCTTAATCAAGATGCCTTGTTCTTATGCCCTGGGTCCACATGGTGGTGGTGCCCCAGACATGACTATCTGGGAACAGAGTCTGTATTGTAGCAGTGGGGAAAGGGTTCTATAATTTTTACTGTGAAGGCTAATTTCCTGGACTAAGCAGTGGAAGTCTCATTGCTTCATCTGTAATGGATGAAAGAGCGTGTGGATAATCAGCCTCCATTGTGAGTAGGACCGAAGCAGCACCAATGAGTTAGGAACCAGCAAGTCAGCAGAGTGGAGGGGTCATCAGAGGGAGAAAGTTTGTTTCATAAATGTGGGTGATGCATATACACTGTGATGATCTTCTGTTTAAAAAAATATATGCGTGTACCACTGAATGCCATGCCTCAAACTTCAAAACAGTTACTGTGAGCACACTAAGTTTATCTCGGCTTTTGAGTCTGCTGGTTACAGCAGTAATTCTCTACATGTAAAATGGGAAATACCATTAAACCCAGTTATATCTCTAGAACCAGGATGAACTTAAGTGCACGCACTGTAACTTTTGTTGCCAAAGAGGTGGCATCGTTTTTGGCTTTTTTTCGTCCTACTCTCATTACCTCAAGGAAGGTTAGCCCTGGTCTACACTAGGACTTTAGGTTGAATTTAGCAGCGTTAAATCGATGTAAACCTGCACCCTTTTTTTCAACTTAAAGGGCTCTTAAAATCGATTTCCTTACTCCACCCCGACAAGTGGATTAGCGCTTAAATCGGCCTTGCCGGGTCGAATTTGGGGTACTGTGGACACAATTCAACGGTTTTGGCCTCCGGGAGCTATCCCAGAGTGCTCCATTGTGATCGCTCTGGACAGCACTCTCAACTCAGATGCGCTGGCTAGGTAGACAGGAAAAGAACTGCGAACTTTTGAATCTCATTTCCGGAGACTGCGGGAACTGTGGGATAGCTACCCACAGTGCAACACTCCGGAAGTCGACGCTTGCCTCCGTACTGTGGAAGCACTCCACCGAGTTAATGCACTTAATGCACTTAGAGCATTTTCTGTGGGGACACACACACTCGAATATATAAAACTGATTTCAAAAAACCGACTTCTATAAATTCGACCTAATTTCGTAGTGTAGACATACCCCTTAGGGATAGCTAAAGTCCTGCATTTTCCTTTTTCTGGACTTGTAAGAGCCTGTTGGTCACACCTGGCTAATGTACTGTCCCTACCTAACTTCCAATCATAGTTAGAGTAAACTTTGTGCTGATGAATGGGCTTTTTGACAGAGGGACCTTTTGATGGGAATTTTTTAAACAAAATGAAAACTTTCATTTTGTTTAAAATCACCGTTTCAAAACAAACTTTTGTTTAGACTTAAAATGTCAGTTTGGTTCTTTAAATCTGGACAACTTTGTGGGTTGTTTTTTAAACTTTTTTCCCACGGCCCCCATTTTCTTCCCCACCCCAATCCAATGACATGAGAGGGAATGAAATAAAATGTGTGGGAAAGTTTTTTTAAAAAACATTAAAAAGGTATAGGGAAAAACCTGCTCTTCCCCCTCCCGCTAACTTTCCTTCATTTTCTTTTTCTGTCCAAACTTTTGTCACTTGGATAACAAAGTGTTGAAAGTGTTACTTTTTCTCAGAAAGTAAAAAACACTTCCAATATTTAACTGTTTCCTACACTTTGTTGCTGTTTTTCAACAGGCAAAAATTGGGAAATGGTAATACAGTGGAAGGGGGAGGGCCGCCCCCGTTTTTTTAAAATAAAACAAATAAATATTTTGGGGTGGTGGGGGGTCCTGAAATTTTCTATTTAGGACATTTTTGAAAAAACTAAAAAGTAGTCATCTAAGTCAACAGTTTTTAAGAAAAAAATGTTGATTTTGATGAAACCCTGTTTTCTGCTCGGAAAATAGCTTTTGTTAGAAATCTCCTGATCCGCTCTGTATAGAAGAGAATGGCTTAAAAAGCATATACTTGTCCTATACCTGGTTCTTACTGCACTATCAGTCCAACCCTTTGAGCGGTAACTTCCATCTGTTTTCCTCTGTTGTATATTCGATGACTGTGGCTATTAGCAGAGATGAGAGGAAGTATATGAGAGAGACTTTTTTTCCAATGACTCTGATGCAAATCTGGTTTCACAATTTTGAAGAAATCTATCCTTATTGACATTTTGAGGATATATATATATATATATATATATATACTGTTTCTTTAAATCAGACGCATGAAGCCAGGCAAGATAGGGCTGGGAAATTTCCTAAGACAAGCTCTACAGTGAAGCAGAGAGAGAGAGAAAGAGAGGCTTAATATGGTTTTCATTATGCTGATAAAGTTCCTTGTTCAGTGTTGGAAGAAAATTTACTCTGAGTCTTTGTCACATGATAGATTTTGCCTCCCTCTGTCCATAGCCTCTGTCCCCAGGATAGAGAATACATACAAACTAGTCTTGTCATTGATTATTACTGTTATTCTGTAAGGTGCAGGGAGATCATTATTTTCTCAGTCTACCAAAAAACCCTCGCAAGCCTTCAAGGAAATTTCCAGTGTGATTTTTCATCTGGTTTGGCAGATTCCTCTTGGAGAACAGAAAGTCAAGGGAAAATGGGAATTAATAAAAGATGTTGTGAACCATCTGGAAATCCTTCATCAAAAAGGGAAAACAGCAGCAAAACAGTAGCTGACAAATAAATAAATAATCATGAACTGCAGTCTTTTTAACCATCTCCCTCCCTCCCTCCCTCTCTCTCTCTCTCTCCTCAGGGCCAAGTATTTCCAGGGGAAGAAGGTGAATGGAGAATTTGAGATCCGAGTGGAACAGGTCAGTGGACATTGAAATCCTCTGTAGCAAGGGTTCACGTAGGTGATTGAGACCCCACATGCAGGTGTCTGCGGGCATCAGCCAGGAGGAGAAGGGTGCTAAGGAGGAATTTTAAGTCTTGTCTGTTTCACAGAATTAGAGAAGCCGGAGATGAAAATAACCTTTTGGGCCATCCAGTCCTGCCTTTTCAGGATTGTTCCCTATTGTACTTTTTCTAGTGCTGCTTTGCATGTCCCTATGGATATGTCTACGCTGCAATTAAACCCCACAGCTGGCCCATGCCAGCTAACTTAGACTCATGGGACTCAGGCAAAGGGGCTGTTTAATTGCAGTGTAGCCATTCAGGCTTGGGCTGCAGCCTGAGCTCTGGGACCCTTCCACCTTGCAGGGTCCTAGAGCCCAGGCCCCAGATTACCTCTCATGCCAGGGAAGATAGAACCAGGGCCAAGGAGTCTAGTGCCCCTATGTAAACTCTCATATGCCAGTGGGGGAGGGAGTGGAGGTGAGAGGGAGACCCAGAGGGATAGGAGCAGCCACCACAGGGCCCAGGAGCTGTGGGGGAGCAGGGAGTGGGACCCAGAGGGTCTGGAGCAGGCCTGGAAGCAGGTAGGAACCCGCAGAACCCTCTTCCCACCCTGGAGCCGGCTCTCTCCCCTCCCCTGCTAAGTCTCAGTACCTCCCTTCCTGTCCCTCCTCCTCTTCCATTTGCAGGGAGTATCTGCCTCTCCAGTGCATTCCCCTGCAATCATTCCATAATCTCCTTTTTCTCCTCTCCCAAATACCCCAAACCAGGGTAGTCAAATATTTTTTGTTAAGGTCCAAATTTCTTGGTCAAGGTATAGTCAAGGTCTAGACTCCAGAGAAAATAATAAAAAAAGTTAATAATAATAAGTAAATAAAAAGATGTTGGGGTCCATTCAAAAGCATCTGGTGGTCTGGTTTTGGCCCACAGTCCGCCTACTGACTGAAAACCCTGCATCTTCTTTCCTTCCTTCTCATTCAGAATTACAAATGCGCTCCTTGGAGAGGAGCTGTCTCCAGTACCCCTCTGGTGGAAGCCCACTGGCTGAAATAGACAGGGGAAGATTAACCCATCGCTGGGCCCTAGACAAAACTTCCTCATGTCCCCCCAGCCCTTCTCCCAGTTGGCTTCCTTGTGCAGGCATGCACCACAGCTTCCCATACTTGTAGCAGCTCTTGACGCAATTGCTAAGCGAACCCTGTGGGTAGAACAGAGGGAACATTGGCTGCTGGAAGTGGGACAAGGCTGGGCAGGCCCTGGGGTGGGGCGGGGTGGCATTGGCTTCATGGCAGCGACAAGGAGGAGCTGTGCTGGCTGCCCCAGTTCTCTCTCAGGTTTGGCCCTGCCGCCTCTCTGTCATGACAAGGGTAGATGGGGTCACAGTGCCACTCAGGTTGGGCCCCATCCAAGAATTGGGCCCTCAGCATACGCTTAGGTTGCCTATGCCTTAAATCAGCTCTGGAAATGGAGCCTCTGCACTGCTGTTTCTCTGACTGGATAGACCAGGATCAGTGCCTACCATGGGGCTTGTAACAATTCCCAGGAACTCCTGTGAACCTCATCCAGCCCATCAGCCAAGACCTGTTACTTAGGTGGCATGCTCAGGTTTGGGCATAGAACCCAAAGGGGCTAAGGAGTGCAAGTAATAATCAAGTGTGCATGTGGCGAAAAATGTGCCTTCACTGCAGTGGCTATCAGGGCTCCCACTGCTAGGAACCGTTGCCTGCTAGTGTTGTGGTACTGAGAGTTACCTCAGTGAAGCCCCCTTCTAATAATAAATGTAACAACTGCAGCAGTACTCCAGAAAATGAATTATTTAATTGAGAGAAAGGTTGGACAACCGTGAACAGAAAGCAGGCTGCTTTCCCCCGCTCCCCATATATGGCAATGGAGCCTAAGAGTAACAGATGGTGAGTTGCGCCCTGCTTCATTGGACCTTGAATGCAGAAGTGATCATCAGTTCTATCATTGTCTAACAAGGGAAATACAGAAGTTGTATTGTTGTGGGCAGTCCTTGAATGTGGCCTCAGGCCCCTGTGCATATCGATCAGGCCAAGAGGGGGGCGCTTATCTGTTCAGACTCCAACTCTTTGGGCTTCCTCTTTTACTCATCCCTTGGGGGACTCCATTGTTTTTCACTCACTCGCTTCTTTTTTTCATTTTTCTTGCCCTCCCCTGCTCCTCTCTGCCTTACTTATGACCCCCTGGCCTAAACCATCATGGAACACTTCACTTTGTCTTTTCTGCTACTGAACACAAGAAAGTTCTGGAGCCTAAAAAAGAGAACGCTCTTCCACAGTCCTGGCCTAGGAAGCCCACAGAAAAGAACTCTGTGTACATATGACCTTGTCCCAGACCTTACCATGCTGTAATGGTCTTTAACCAGGTGAAGCAAGGGTCCAGGGCTGGTCTGAGTAAACTCTACACTGATCAAAAGCTAAGTGTTGTGGCTCTTCTGAAGCGGCTTGGGCCGTGTGGTATGCTTGTTCACATGTAATTATCCGGAAAGGTTTTTTCTCCCAGCTCACCATTGGATCCCATGGTAAATTTCCACTCATTATGTGCCCTGGGCAAAAACTTAGCTTTTCTGAGGAAAAAAGTGTTCTGTTTTTATAGCGAAACCAGATTTTACCTGTAACAATAAAATAGCCTCTCTTTTTTTACCAGCGGAAAGTGTTGAAGTGAAACATCCAAATGTTTAACACATTTGCAAAACAATGTCAGGAATGAGACACTTCAACAGTTTTGCTGGCAGTGCTCAAGTATGTGGCGTGGAACGCAGTTACATCCATTCTTCTGGGATGCCCAGAAATGGGATTTGAATCTGAGGCATTTGCCTTACTGCTTTTTCTCTCTCTGATTGCTGCCTGTATTACAGCTTCATTCTCTGTTAACAAGCCCCATCGGCTGCTTTTGGGAGAAGCAGAGAGGGGACACTGATATTTTTTTCTTTTTTTGGTAGGTAATGACCTCATTTTATTTATACTGTGGTGGAACTGTTGAAAGCGGAACTGTCTCTCTCTCAGCAGCTGGTTGTGAGCTATCAAGTCTGGTCATACCCCCCTACCAGCTCTGAGAGTTTTCTCTCCTCCTTGGCTATAGTTCTTGAGCTTACACTTGTATGGAAACAGGTCAGGTTCTCAGGTTGTTTACTATGGAAATGAACTATGTGACCTCCATGCCCTCCCGCCTTCTCTTCCCCCAAGCTCTCCCTTCAGCTAATTTTATCCACACAGGCATTGAGAAGACAGATGCTCCATTCATTGCCTAGTGCTGATGAATATGAGAAAAGCATGGTAAGCCATACTGAGCTGGATGTGTACTCTCCAGTCCTGTTCCCTGGCTTCCATCCTCTCAAATCATTAATTAATTCAGCCACAAGGATCCTCTTTATTTCCTTCTTAGTTTCCTTTTTGCGTGCTCTTCAATTTAAACCCGGACACTGATTTATTGAGCGATCTATTAGGATGTCTAAAGTGTGCTATATTATCCATCTCAGGACACACATATGTGCTATTTATTTAAACCTTCCCATGAGATTGCTTTGTCTTACCTTATTGCCTTTAGTGACTGATTAACCTCAGTGCCAGGATCCTGGAAACAGAGAGAGAGAGAGAGAGCGTGGTGGGAGAAAATTGATAAGGTCCTGGAAGCAGAAAGGAGAAAAGAAAGAGAGCTGGAATAGTGAAAGAGCCAGGACCAAAGATCATCAGCGACAGTGAGGATTCCAATCCTGACCCAAAGAAGCAGGGTGGTGATAAAGAAGAACTGTTATTATTTGAGGGCTGGGGGCATTTATGTTCCAAGTGCATCTGGAAAAGTTCAGCATTGCCAGAAACTTCCCACCATGCATGCAGTTCCATTACCCAAACGTAATACTCTTACTAGTAATATTTAGGGATTTTAACTCTTCCAATGTAACATCTGTTTCCAAAGACTCCTTTCTCTTCTTGGATGTTGGAGAAATCAGTGAGGGAATTAAGCCAGAGCACTGGAAGCCACAGTGTTTATCTCTGTGTTTGGATCTCTAAAACCTCTTTCATCCAAGGGTACATTTAATCCTTTTCTTTAGCAACTTTTAGTGAATTTAGTGTTGGCCAAAGGGACCAGATTGACAGCCAAAGAGTCTTAAATTGTCTCGTTAGCCAAAAAACAGGTACAGCAGCTATGCAAGCTTCCCCACATTGCTCCATCAATGTACCTCAAGCCTGATCCTGAAAGACCTCTCCTAACACAGTTAGAGTAATTCAGTCTCCATGTTCATTTAGGCCTCCATACAGTAAAGCACTTAAGCATGTGCTTATCTGTAAGTACGTGAGTATTCCCATCTCTTTTCAGCAAAGCAATTAAATTGGCTTCAGTGAGACTAAAGCATGTGCTTAAAGTGTAGCTCGTGCTTAAGTGCTTTGCTGAACTGGGGACTTAATCCTTGTCCTTTCTGCCAAAAAGGGAGTCAATTATGGTTGTGCTTTGTTATGTGGATATTTTTCTCCCAAGTGGCCTTCTGTGACAATGGTATTCAATCACTATCAAGCTGAGTCGCACTTTGGAAGTGCTGACCAACAGGTGGAAGTCTTGGTTTATCTTATTCCCAGGGCCCTAAACCATCTAACCCCTGAGAATTTATCTATCTAAAAATTCAAGACCTCAGATTCAGTATTGCCAGTCCCAAGCATTTGAAAATCATGAGTTGGTCTCCAAAACAAATGAGATTTTTTATAATAATAATAGTTGTTGAGTTCCTTTGATTTGCCTTCTGTTCTTGAGCCCTTAGGGTGTGTGTTCTCATAGTTTTCTAGAAAAAATATTTTATAAATAATGAAAAGCTGGGGGCTCCTTCCCCCATCAAGGATGCTAGGCTAGAACTGCCATGAAGGAGACCCAAAATGGATTATAATATCTTGGTCTCTTTCATCTCAGTCCAACAGGTGCTTGAACACTGTGGAGCTCAGCCTCATGAGGAAGATGTGGCATACCATCTTATTTTGGGGGTACGTGAATTGTGCAGCTACTGATCACCCTAATCCTTGGGACATAGAAATGCAAAGGAGAATCTGAACTTCTTTTTTTTTTTTGTTACTTTTCTATCTGTGACGGGTTCCCCGGAGTACAATCTGGAATTGGGGTACCACTCAGCCCTACGTCTTACCAACCTAGGCTCCCTCTCACACTGTGATGCTATGACAAGCTGCAAATCCCTCCAGGTCTTGCATTCACACAGCCATCCACAGACAGGAATACACCCAGCTGAGTTACATGAATGCTTTCACCAGACACTCATGAGCCAACAATAGAGAGGCTCCAGCCAATTCCCCCGCTCTCCCCACCCAGATCCCCAGCCTAGGACCCCAGAGCTGTACCATCTTGCCCTGGTCAGAAGCCTGACCAGTGTAAGTTTATGACCTAGTCCGCCCCTCCCTCAATATGGAGAGGACATGCATCAGCCCTTGTTCCTGAGCAGATTTCCCTTGCACTTCAAGCAACACACTATTTTAGATAAAAAAAATATAAAACAGATTTATTAACTACAGAAAGATAAATTTGAAGTGATTATAAGTAGTAAGCATACAGATCAAAGGTGAAAAGAAAAGGAGTACTTGTGGCACCTTAGAGACTAACAAATTTATTTGAGCATAAGCTTTCAGGAGCTACAGCTCACTTCATCAAATGCATCTGATGAAGTGAGCTGTAGCTCACGAAAGCTTATGCTCAAATAAATTTGTTAGTCTCTAAGGTGCCACAAGTACTCCTTTTCTTTTTGTGAATACAGACTAACACGGCTGCTACTCTGAAACAGATCAAAGGTGGTTACCTAAGAAATAAAAAGTAAAATCACAATCTGAGTTCTATGAACTAGACAGGATTTAAATCAAGCAATGTCTCACCCTGATGGTTTAATACCTTAATACACAAGCTAGGATTCTCCTTTCCAGCCTGGGACCACCTCCCCAGTTCAGTCTTTGTTCTCTAGACATGTTTCCAGGTGTTGAGTTGTGGGGGGAGTGAGGCCAAATGATGATGTCACTTCCCCTTTTTATAGCTTCTTCCAGCTTGCTGGAAAGATCCTTTGCTATGACATGAGTCAAGCAGCCTCCATTGTGTATGCACTCTCTGAGAGGTTTCTATTGTATACAGTTCCTGGGGTAATCCTCCTGTGTGTGTGTGTGTGTGTGTGTGTGTGTGTGTGTGTGTGTGTGTGTGTGTGTGTGTGTGTGTGTGTGTGTGTGTGTGTTCCCCCTTAAATCACTTTCTGGCTGCCCCATTGTTGTACCTGAAAGACTGGTTGTGAGCGTTTCCAACTTCAGAACATATTTCAGTAACACACACAGCAAAACCTCATAACTTCACAGACAGTGATAGCACATACAACTTAAGGGGATATTAATGTTCAACAGATTAAGATTTTTAAAATGATACCTTACAAGGTATACTTTGTACAAAACATAACATAACTATATGACAGTGGTGAGTATGGGGGTTCCAGGGTGTTGCTTTGGGGTAAGAGAATATAACCATTGTAGATGGAGGCTGTCAGGGTTCCTTCCCCACTCTGAACTCTAGGGTACAGATGTGGGGACCTGCATGAAAGACCGTCTAAGCTTATTCTTACCAGCTTAGGTTAAAAACTTCCCCAAGGTACAAACTTTGCCTTGTCCTTGAACCCTATGCTGCCACCACCAAGCGTCTTAAACAAAGAACAGGGAAAGAGACCACTTGCAGACGTCTTCCCCTAAAATATCCCCCCAAGCCCTACACCCCCTTTCCTGTGGAAGGCTTGGTGAAAATCCTCACCAATTTGTACAGATGAACACAGACCCAAACCCTTGGATCTTAAGAACAATGAAAAATCAATCAGGTTCTTAAAAGAAGAATTTTAATTAAAGAAAAGGTAAAAGAATCACCTCTGAAAAATCAGGATGGTAAATACCTTCAGGGTAATCAGATTCAAAACATAGAGAATCCCTCTAAGCAAAACCTTAAGTTACAAAAAGACACAAAAACAGGAATATACATTCCATTCAGCACAACTTATTTGACCAGCCATTAAACAAAAGGAAATCTAATGCATTTCTAGCTAGATTACTTATTAACAGAAGTTCTGAGACTGCATTCCTGATCTGTTCCTGGCAAAAGCATCACCCAGACAGACAGACCCTTTGTCTCCCCCCCCCCCCCAGCTTTGAAAGTATCTTGTCTCTTCATTGGTCATTTTGGTCAGGTGCCAGCGAGGTTATCTTAGCTTCTTAACCCTTTACAGGTGAAAGGGTTCTGCCTTTGGCCAGGAGGGATTTTATAGCACTTTATACAGAAAGGTGGTTACCCTTCCCTTTATTTTTATGACAGAGGCAAACTACACACTATAGTTAAAAGCTAGTAACTGATTTTTCTTTAAGGTCACAGGTTATTCAGGCTTCTCCAACCCCCTCCATGATACCCATCTAGAGTTGGCCTTTTGGGCCCATGAAATCCAGTGGCCGCAAGTCCTTTTTAATCTTGTTTTTAGAGAGGATCTCAGACCTGATCTTAGCTGTGGGAGAGGCATTGCTGCCTGGGCTGGTGCTGATGGCACTAGGGCCCAGTTAAGAAAGCTGCCTCCAGCTGAGCATGCTCCTCTGCTCAACGACGGGTGTGACCTCTGGCCACAAGGGAGTGAAGCTGAATACAGTAGCCAGTACAGCATAGACTATGTCTAGACACAGGACTGAGAATAAAGGACTGCTGGTTATTTTCAGGGCACGGAGAGGATATTGAAGTGGATAAAACTGGTGGGATGCAGAGCGGCCCCCTCTTAGAAGTCCCTGTTATCTAAAGTCACTGAACCTGGCCCAGATAATTCTGTCCTTTTTGACTATTACTTAAACTCTGCTGGATCACTTTTTCCTGAGGAATGTGTGATCTGGAAACCTGGTGATTTCTAGAAATCACCTTCCCCCCTCCCACCCCCCAATAGCACGGTACAGCATGTGCACCACACCACTCCAGAGAATGAGAGTCTGAGAACAACACAGAGGATTAGCAGCAGAGATAGTGCAGCTTTTCTCTTGCAGAATCTGCTGCCGTTTGGATAGTATTTCTTCAGATGTTTCCTAGAGCATCCTTCCTCAGCCCTTATGTCAGCTAATGGCTCTATTCAGGGACAGAAAGGGGTAAGGAGAGGAGCACTCAGGCCAGAAGGCTCATGTAAATTTGTAAAGTTTGTTCCTGTTGCTCTCCCACCTCCTCTCTTTCCCACCATTTCTTTCTTTATCTCTCTCTAACACTCATTCTTCTTTTACAGCTCATTCACTTGTTCCCACGCCACGGGATTTTTTCAGGGTGTTATTATTCAATGAACTCCTCTATGTATGCTTCTGGAAATCTCTTGTGGAATAGGGTTATGACTGTGCTGGTAATGTTGACAAGGATTGCTCATGAATTACCTAGACAAAAGAGAGTTATAATACAAATGATCTCTCCAGTTTCATTGTACTTAAATTCCTAAATTAGTATTTTAATTAGTGGCATAGAGCGGGCATTCTGAAAGGAAGAATCTGATAGGCCAAAGAAGTGTAGTCACATAAACAGTCCTTTCTAGCCCCATGGATTAACCATTTATTAAACAACCATATAGTTATTCGTTTTGTTTGTTGGTTTAAAGAACTCAAAATTTTTATGAAAGAAAGGATTTCCAGAGGAGCCGTTCTTAAATATGGATACCTACAGTTAGGTGGTGGTTTTCACAGTATTGCTAAATCTATTATTCAGAAATCATGACAATAGGCCTCCAGAAAACTGAGACTGATTTAAAAATACTGATTTTTTAAAAACAATAAAACTGTTTTTTTATTTGCCTTCTGCTCTTTCGAGCCATTAGGTTTCGTATTTTCAAGCTATTCGCTGTGACAATGGGCCTAGAAATGTTCTTTTTTAAAAAAAAATTGAATCTGGATTTTAATGTAGTGGCATGACTCAGCTGGCACTTTAAGAAAAACAACAAATATCGCAAGACTGGCAGTAAAAGCACGACAGCTGACAACACTGAATGGCACTTAACCTTCAGCACAGGTACCAAGCGGCATGTGGCTACCTGGTATCAGTGTTCCCTGTAGGCTGTGTGCATTCACACTGGCTCAGGGCCATTAAATAGCATGTGTCAGGGTTTCTTCCCCACTCTGAACTCTAGGGTACCGACGTAGGGACCCGCATGAAAGACCCCCGAAGCTTATTTTTACCAGCTTAGGTTAAAAACTTCCCCAAGGTACAAACTTTGCCTTGTCCTTGAACAGTATGCTGTCACCACCAACCGTTTTAAACAAAAAACAGGGAAAGAGACCACTTTGGAGACGTCTTCCCCCAAAATATCCCCCCAAGCCCTACACACTCCCTTTCCCAGGGAAGGCTTGATAATAATCTTCACCAATTTGTACAGGTGAACACAAACCCAAACCCTTGGATCTTAAAAACAATGAAAAATTAATCAGGTTCTTAAAAGAAGAATTTTAATTAAAGAAAAAGTAAAAGAATCACCTCTGTAAAATCAGGATGGAAAATACTTTACAGGGTATTCAGATTCAAAACACAGAGGATCCCCCTCTGGGCAAAACCTTAAAGTTACAGAAAAAAGGAATAAACCTCCCTCTTAACACAGGGAAAATTCACATAAAACAAAAGATAAACTAATCAGCTTGCCTGGCTTACCTATATTGGTAGCAATATTGGAGACTTGGATTAGGATGCATTGGAGAAGATGGATTTCTGTCTGGCCTCTTTCAGTCCCAAGAAAGAACAACCATATAAACAAACAAAAGCCTTTCCCCCCCAAGATTTGAAAGTATTTTGTCCCCTTATTGGTCCTTTGGGTCAGGTGCCAGCCACGTTAGCTGAGCTTCTTAACCATTTACAGGTAACAGGATGTTGCCTCTGGCTAGGAGGGATTTTATAGCACTGTATTCAGAAAGGTGGTTACCCTTCCCTTTATATTTATGACACGCCCCCCCAAATCACAGATAGGGTGAAACACTGGCTGTGATTTCTTTCTGGAGCTATAGGAGAAAACAGAGTTAATAAGACACATACATTTTTAAATATACTACTAACTGTATAAAGACTAACAATATTTCCCACATTTTAAGGACGATTTGGACCAGTTGATTTTGGGAAACTTTTACAGGACAGTGCATTAGCCACTTTGTTAGAAGCTTTTGAAATGTGTTGTACGTTGAAATTAAAATTTTGGAGAGCTAAACTTCACCGAATACGTTTTTTGTTATTTCCCTTGGCGGTATGAAGCCACTGTAGCGCAGCATGGTCGGTTTGCAGGTGGAAACGCCGTCCCCAAATGTATAGGTGTCGCTTTTTTAGAGTGTAGACAATGGTGCAACATTTCTTTTTACTGATTGACTAATGGCTTTTCCTCTCAGACAGCTTTTTGCTGAGAGACACGACAGGATGGAACTTTTGATTTGGTCCTTCCTGCATTAAGACTGCTCCCACGCCACGCTTGGACACATTTGTGGTTACTAGGAACGGTTTGTTAAAGTCTGGGGCCCTTAGCACAGGGTCTGACATGAGTGTTGCTTTAAGCTGGTTAAAGGCCTTTTGACACTCTTTAGTTCACTAAACTGCATTTGGCTAGGTTTTTTTGGGTAGGTTTGTCAGTAGGGCGGCGATTTGGCTGTATTGCGGTACAAATCACCTGTAATATCTGGCCAAGCCTAAGAAGGATTGGACCTGTTTCTTTGACTTTGCGACAGGCCACTTTTGGATAGCATCCACTTTGATCTGTAGGGGGTTGATAGTTTTTTGACCCACCTGGTGTTTAAGGTAAGTCACTTTGTTTAGGCCTATTTGACACGTTTTAGCCTTAACAGTTAGTTTTGCCTCTCTTATGTGCTTGAAGACTTTTGTAGATGTTTTAGGTGTTTTGCCCAGGAATCCGAAAATATGGCCACATTGTTAAGGTAGGCGACTGCATATTCTCCCAAACCTGCTAGGAGACCATCTACAAGTTTTTGGAAGGTGGCGGGTGCAGCCCGAAGGGGAGCACATTAAATTTATACAGCCCGACATGTGTGATGAAGCCTGACCTTTCCTTGGCGGATTTATTTAGTGGTACCTGCCAGTACCCCTTGGTTAAGTTCAAGGTAGAGGTGAACTGGACCCTTCCCAGTTTTTTCAATAGTTTATCTGTGTATAGCATTTGATGGTTGTCTGGGAGAGTTATAGCATTGAGCTTATGGTAGTCCATGCAAAAACGTATCTCCCCATATGGTTTGGGAACTAGAGCCACTGGAGATGCCTATGCACTGCAGGAGGGGTGGATTACACCCATCTGTAGCATATCCTGGATCTCCCATTCTATAGCAGTTTTAGCTTGAGGAGACACCCAGTAAAGTTGGGCTTTATTTGGGTGAGCATTACCTGTGTTAATGGAGTGGTATGCCCATTCAGTCAGTCTTGGGGTGGCTGAGAACGTTGGCGCATAGCTAGTGCACAGCTCCTTGATTTGCTGTTGCTGCATATGCCCAAGGGTTATGAAGAGGTTCACCTCTTCCATGCCACCATCACTTTTTCTTTGTAGTAGACACCTTTAGGCCACTCAGCGTCATCTCCTCCCTGGGCTGTAAACTGACAAATCTTTAATTCTCTGGCAAAAATGTCTGTTAGTGCCTGGCACACACTTTTAGCCCTGGTGTTGCTTAGAGCTACTGCTTCCGGCCATCAGGTGGCAAAATTCATGAAAGTCAGACTTCCTCTCTGTGTCTTTTTTGGAAAAGGACCCAGAATATTCACAGCTACTTGCTGAAATGGAACCTCAATGATGGGGAGTTGCTGGAGAGGGAGTTTGACCTGGTTTTGGGGTTTTTCCACTCTTTGGCATACCTTACAAGATCGGACATAGGCAGAAACATCCTTGCCCATTCCCTCCCAGTGGAATGACCTCCCCAAATGGTCTTTGGTTCTGTTCACCACAGCATGGCCACTAGGATGATCATGGGCTAAGCTTAAGAGCTTTTCCTGGTACTTAGTACCAACTGTCTCTGAGGATGCCAGTCTTCCTGGTGTCCACTAGAAAGAGTTTCCTTATATAAAAGTCCTCTTTTTACAACAAACCGGGATCGATTAGAAGAGTTGAGAGGTGGTAGGTTCTCCGTGCTTCTGTCCAAGCTTTCTGGAGGCTTTCATTTGCTTCCTGTTTGGCCTGGAACTGTTTCTTTGATGCTGGAGACATCAGTTCCTCACTGGATTGTGGACCTGGGCTTGGTCCCTCTGGAAGCAATGCAGGTGATGGGGCTGTTTCTGTTGATGGTGAACCGCTTTTCGCTGGTGCACTATGGGGTATTTTAGGCTCTGGCTGAGCCTCTTGTGTAGGGTCATCTGCTGCTACTGCCAGTGCAGGCTCGGTGGTGCCCTCTGGTGTTGGAGCTGTAGATGGGGTTGCAAGCGCTGGACTCAGTGCTGGCAATGGTTGTGGTGCTGGTTGCTTCACCAGTTTCAGTTCGGGGTCTGGCTTTGGCTGGGTCTCTGGGACTGGATCCGCTATGGCCGTTGCAGTGGTTGGCAGGGGATCCAGTTCCACCACCTCCATCTGGGTGCCTGGTAACACAGACGGGGCCCTGGTGGAAGGCTCAGGAACAGGGATAGGTGTGGAAGCTTGCTTAGTCTGGCTGCGGGTGACCATTCCCACCCTCTTGGCCAGCTTTACCTGGTTGGCCAAGTCTTCCTGAAGCAACATGGGAATGGGATAATCATTATAGACTGCATTATAGACACATTCCTGACCAGCCCTTGTACTGGACAGGCAACTTGGCTGTAGGCAAATTGAAAGAGTTGGACTTGAAGGGTTAAATCATTACTTGGGCCTCTGGGTTGATTTAAGTTGGGGTCCACTAAGGGTTGATGGATAGCTGACACCTGCACTCCAGTGTCCCTCCATGCTATAACCCTTTTCCCACCCACACTCACAGTTTCCCTTCACTCTAAGGGTATCTGGGAGGCATTTGGACCTGAGGACCTTTGGTGTGACCCCAGTGCAATGAACTGTAATCTGTTGGGGTTCTTGGGGCAGTTGGCCTTCACATGCCCCAGCTCATTACATTTAAAACATCGCCCAGCTGACTGTTCACTGGGGCGAGGTGGTTTGCTGGAGAATGGTGTGGTGGGACGATAAGGTGTCTGGGGTTTTCCTTGGAATGTAGGTGGGGCCTTGGGTTGCCCCCAGTGATAGGGTTTTGTTTCGGGTTACCCCTTCTGATATTCGCCCCAACTGCTATTAGTTTTTTTTCTTTTCTGCCACCTCCACCCATTTGGCTCCAATCTCCCTGGCCTTGATTACAGTTTTGGGCTTCCCATCTGGGTGTACCTTTCTATTTCCTCAGGAACACCCTCTAAGAACTGCTCCATTTGCATTAGGAAGGGCAACTCTTCTGGAGATTTAACACTTGCTCCTGATATTCAGGCATCCCAATGTTTCACAATGTGGTAGGCATGTCGGATAAATGACACGTCTGGTTTCCACCTTAGGGCTCTGAACCGCCGACGGGAATGCTCGGGTGTTAGCCCTATTCTGACTCTCACCTGGGTTTTAAAAAGTTCATAACTGTTTATGTGTTCTTGAGGCATTTTAGCCACCACCTCTGCTAAGGGTCCACTGAGCTGTGGCCTCAACTCTACCATGTACTGGTCTGTAAAGATGCGGTACCCAAGGCAGGCCCTTTCGAAGTTTTTTAAGAAGGCCTCGGTATCATCACCTGCCTTGTAGGTGGGAAACTTTCTATGATGGGAAGCAGTACCTGGAGAAGGATTGCTAGGGTTGGTTGATATATTCTGCTGAGCCCTTGCCTTCTCCATTTCCAGTGCATGCTTCCTCTCTTTTTTTTTTCCTCCTCCATAGTTCTCTTGTGGGGAGCTTCCTCTGCCTCCACCCTGGCATTTTCTGCCTCCACCTCCAAGCGCCTTAAGGCCATCTGTTTATCATGCTTTTTTTGTTTCTCTTCAGCTTCGAATCTGGCCAGCTCTAGTTTATTAGCTGCTTCACTGTTAGTCATTTTCCTGCTTTTTTGTGCTTAACTCTAGCTATACCCGAGAGTTAGGGAGAAAAAAAAACTTGTGAATTTCCCTGCAGGAGGTTAACTACCCTGCCTTTAGGTAGAGAGAACTGCAGCTCAAAAAAGAAAAATCCCTTTGTAAAAAAACTAACACCTCCATCTCCAGGAAAATAGACAGAAAACCCTCTAGCTGCTTTCAGCTTAAAAAAAAACCTCTTCAGGTCTGTGCTTTTGGTTCAAAACGATCTCTGGTTCAAAATGATCTTTGGTTCAAAATGATCCCACTGCTTCCACCATGTCAGTGTTCCTTCCCCACGCTGAACTCTAGGGTACAGATGTGGGGACCCGCATGGAAGACCCCTAAAGCTTATTCTTACCAGCTTAGGTTAAAAACTTCCCCAAGGTACAAACTTTGCCTTGTCCTTGAACAGTATGCTGCCACCACCAAGCGTTTTAAACAAAAAGCAGGGAAAGAGACCACTTAAAGACGTCTTCCCCCAAAATATCCCCCCAAGCCCTGCACTCCCTTTCCTGGGGAAGGTTTGATAATAATCCTCACCAATTTGTACAGGTGAACACAAACCCAAACCCTTGAATCTTAAAAACAATAAAAAATTAATCAGGTTCTTAAAAAAAATTTAATTAAAGAAAAGGTAAAAAAAGATCACCTCTGTAAAATCAGGATGGAAAATACTTTACAGGGTATTCAGATTCAAAACACAGAGGATCCCCCTCTGGGCAAAACCTTAAAGTTACAGAAAACAGGAATAAACCTCCCTCTTAACACAGGGAAAATTCACATAAAACAAAAGATAAACTAATCCGCCTTGCCTGGCTTACCTATACTGGTTGCAATAATGAAGACTTGAATTAGGATGAATTGGAGAAGATGGATTTCTGTCTGGCCTCTTTCAGTCCCAAGAAAGAACAACCACATAAACAAAGAGCACAAACAAAAGCTCCCCCTTCCCCCCCCCGCAAGATTTGAAAGTATTTTGTCCCCTTATTGGTCCTTTGGGTCAGGTGCCAGCCAGGTTAGCTGAGCTTCTTAACCATTTACAGGTAACAGGATGTTGCTTCTGGCCAGGAGGGATTTTATAGCACTGTATACAGAAAGGTGGTTATCCTTCCCTTTATATTTATAACAGCATGCATGAGACCTCTCACTGGATGTACAATGTCCTACTCTCCAGCTACACCACCTTCACCTTCCTTCTCTGAAGGGCAACCCATACATCAAACACACATCCCATTCCCACTCCCTGCACTCATTCACACATCCTGTTTGGCCTTCTTCCTGCCCAGGGATTAGGGACTGCAGAGTCATTAAAACTCTGTAACTCTGTAAATGTCAATATTAGTATAGTGCAAATCAATATTTACAAAGTGCTGGCTTTTTTACCTACAAAAATTGGAAATTATCAACTAGAATTGTTGGAAATGTCAGTACAAAATGATTAAGGGATCCCATTTACTGGGTTAAAAATTACACTCCTCCCTCCCCCCAAAGAGAGACCATACTGCTCTAGTATGATGACAACTGGCTCATTTCAGAAGCAAGGCTGGGAAGGGCAAAGTGTCCTAGCCAGAGGCAGGTCCTTGCAACATAAGGGGCTTAAAGAAGAGAAAAAAGGGGGAATTAATGGGGATCCTTAGGAAGATGGACAGGCCTCTCAGGGAAAGGGATAATCAGTAAAGAGAAAAGCAAATAGAAAGGATGAAAATCCTCTTCTACTTCTTCTAATACTGCTTAAAATTTAACATACCCAGCATCAGCCTCTCAGCGTGTCAAGTGGCTCATATAGAGTATTCATCAGGTGCAAAGAACAAAAGCATGTGGAGTGAAAAACCAGCCAAAGAGAAGAGGAATTAGCAAAAGAGAGGTCTGTTGCGAAATTTCTGGATTCTGTTCAAAGATCTGTGTGTGTGCATACACTTGCAGTGTACGTATGTTTGTACGCAGATACGGTATTGCATATACAATTATGGAGGTGTCCTGTCAACTCCATAATTAAGATGGCATTGAAATGTGAAGTTAAAGCAGTATAAAAACGTGTGTGTGTGTGTATAGTCATATAAAAATCCAATGTAACCTTGTCTTTTATTTTAAATAGGCACCAACGAGAGGAGCTTTTAGTTAGATTAAAAGCAGATGAGGGCTTAGAAAGTTCAGTAGCTCAAAAACCAAAAGCACAGGGAGTGCTGGGAACTGCGTGGACATGCTAAGCCTGCTAGCTTAAAAAAAAAATCACAATCCTTCTCTCCACTGCCGTGTAGGAGATTAAACTAGAGTCAAATGCATCTGATTAGAGAACAGAATGGAATATCTTTTCTGGACTTTTTCTTTTTCTTATTGCCATCGTTCATTCACTGGCTGGTTCTGCAAGATGGTATAAGTGATGTTGACTTGGGGAAAGAAATCACTTTACTCCTCTCTATCTGCCTGTTGAATTTCTGTTGGCAGAGTGTCCCATGTAGTGCCTGTTTCCCTGTCAGAGACCTGAGAATTTTCCTCTGCCCTTTATCTCCTCCCCCCAGCCCCGCCCCTTTATACCTTTGGAATTGCATCACCACCATCAACTTTCTGACCAATGGCTGGTGGGCAGGACTCCTTTTGCCGTCAATCACTGCCACAGTATGAGACATACATTCCCCTCCACTCTTCAGGGGCTGAACATACTGCTTCCAAAGTGCTCCTTAGCTTCCTTCTAGCTCAAGGAGTGAGAGATTTGGACAGGGATTTTAACACACAAGTTGTACTGCTTTAACCCCCCCTCCCCCAAGTGTGGAGAGTTGTATTGGTATAAATATGCTTATATTAGCATAGCTTGTTTTCCTACAAAAAGGGGAATAAGCTATATCGGTATAAGGCACCTTTGTACTGGACTAGCTGCACCCACATTAGGGGTTATACAGATGTAACTGTTTTGGTTTAAAAAAGATCATGCCCCTAACCAAAACAGTTGTGCCAGTCCAAAAACTCTGTTTTCCAGGCCTATGCCCACGTCTCCTACATCACAGTATCAAGAATTGGTACTGGCAAAAACTAATTTGTTTACATTTACAATTCATTTTTTGCTTTTAAATTATGAGTAATTTTCTGCTTTATTCTGTGGCAAATATATAAACAACCCCTCAAAAATATTTAACCAAAATGCTTCGTTGGCACCTAAAACTTTGTGTCAAGTTTTTGGCAGCATTCAGAGCAAAGACTGGGATGGAAAGAGTCCAGAGAAGTTGGAGGTTTCATAAAATGTTCTAAAGTTTGAGGAAGGTTTGGGAAGTTTGGTTGGGGGGGGGCGGGGGGGGAAGAGTTAAAACACTTAAATACTTTTTGTGAAAAATGTCTTTCATCGTTTAACCTCAAAATGTAAATGTGAGTCTGCTAAATTCCGGGACCCACAGAGTTACAAAGAGTATGGCTATGCAGTCCATGGGAGCAAGCCTTCCAGCATGGGTTGACACACTTGGGGCTAGCAAGGCTCCCTCAAGTACTCTAAAAATAGGTGTGTAGACTACCCTTTGAAGTGGGGGCTCGGGTTCTGAAGCCTAGGGAGGGGGACAGGCTTCAGAGTCCAAGCTCCAGCCTGAGATGCAACTTCAAAGCACTGTCTCTACAGCTATTTTAGAGCACTAGTTCAAGTCCTGCTAGCCCAAATCGATTGATACTGGCTGGGAGGCTCACTTCCAGGGGTTGTGTAGATGTACCCAGAACATTCTGGGCCCTACAGTCTGTGATATGCTCAAAGGTTGTGAATTATTTCCACGTTCTCTGGACCTGATTCTCTGTTAAGCAGTCATTTACAGGAGTGAAAAGTGAGTGTAAAACACCACCAGATTAGAATGGTAACACTTACATCCACTTAGCACAGGTATAAATAACTACTCGATGTGCCAAGGACCTTTCCCTCTGATGCACAGTTATCTGTCAGTCTCTCTCTATCTTCACTGACTGCTTTCAAAGACCGCTTTTGTCTGCAAGGTAAGCACAGGTTCATAAAGGCATCAGACCCTTGAGCTTCCAGACAAGGAATTTGGCAGGCCTAAAAAACCCACAGAGCAAAAAATACAGGGAATGATGGGAAATCAACAGGAAACAATTCTTGCTCATTAAAGGGTTCAGGCTTCTTCTGAATGTTAGCTATCAGGGGCCTGTCTGATAGCACAAAGCACCTATGTGAAAGAGGAAATGGCTGTTAACTTAGCAGAGTAAGGCAGAAAACCAGTGCCAGCAAAAGGTGATAATAGGTGAGAATGTATGATTGGATAGGTCAGTGTTGGGCATGCTAAAAATACCTTATATGGATAGGGCTATTTACACACATAAGGGAGATTTGATGACCGTTTGGTCCAATTCTACATTTTCTCACTCAGGCAAAATTTCCATGAAAGTTGATGGCCTGAGTAATGAATGACTGCATGACTGAGAGTAATATAACCTCCAGAGTGACACACAGTCCGTAGGAAGAAAAGGAGTACTTGTGGCACCATAGAGACTAACAAATTTATTTGAGCATAAGCTTTCGTGAGCTACAGCTCACTTCATCAGATGCACACAGTGGAAAATACAGTGGGGAGATTTATTTATAAAGAGGACATGAAACAATGGGTATTACCATACACACTGTAACGAGAGTGATCAGGTAAGGTGAGCTATTACCAGCAGGAGAGCGGTGAGGGCGGGAGGGGAACCTTTTGTAGTGATAATCAAGGTGGGCCATTTCCAGCAGTTGACAAGAATGTCTGAGGAACTGTGGGGGGTGGGGGAATAGTTTTACTTTGTGTAATGACACATCCACTCCCAGTCTCTATTCAAGCCTAAGTTAATTGTGTCCAGTTTTCAAATTAATTCCAATTCAGCAGTCTCTCCTTGGAGTCTGTTTTTGATTTTTTTTGTTGAAGAATTGCCACTTTTAGGTCTGTAATCGAGTGACCAAAGAGATTGAAGTGTTCTCCAACTGTTTTTTGAATGTTTTAATTCTTGATGTCTGATTTGTGTCCATTTATTCTTTTACATAGCGACTGTCCAGTTTGGCCAATGTACATGACAGTGGGGCATTGCTGGCACATGATGGCATGTATCACATTGGTTAGATGTGCAGGTGAATGAGCCTCTGATAGTGTGGCTGATGTGATTAGACCCTATGATGGTGTCCCCTGAATAGATATGTGGACACAGTTGGCAATGGGCTTTGTTGCAAGGATAGGTTCCTGGTTTAGTGGTTTTGTTGTGTGGTTTGTGGTTGCTGGTGAGTATTTGCTTCAGGTTGGGGAGCTGTCTGTAAGCAAGGACTGGCCTGTCTCCCAAGATCTGTGAGAGTGATGGGTCGTCCTTCAGGATAGGTTGTAGATCCTTGATGATGTGTTGGAGAGGTTTCAGTTGGGGACTGAAGGTGATGGCTAGTGGCGTTCGTAGTCTGTAGGGTATGTTCAGATTGTGCAGGATATAAGCACTTTATAAAAGTAAGTCTCTGGCCCACTCATGGTTGCCAAGTTAACTCTCCAAATGTAAGTCATGTGTAACTGATGCAGCAATGAATGACGGAGTCTGCCGATAGCATGAAACAATGGCTCTGGGAGGGGTGAACTCTCTTGCTCTAGTAGACTCAATGGAGATAGACTAACTTAGATCTTACGCAGATAAGAACACTGGTGTGGTGATGGGCTGGTAAAACTGTGATATTGGAGAGAACGTGACCAGTCATCAAACAGCTGACAGTAGTTCATTTGTGCACTTGTGGTCCCATTTGAACTCCTTGGCACAAAGAATTGGGTTATCCCTTCCTTTTGGATTGTGGGAAATCTCTGTTATGGAAGGATTCCAATGTAAAAGTTGGTTAAGGGATTTCCTTACAATGTTTGAAGAGTAGATGTGATATTACAGGCACTAAATGTAGCCAGCCAATTGCATTATCAGTATGGCTAACCCCAAGCATTCAAAGCTCATAAGTCAGGCCTAAAAAACGGTGAGATTTTTTAAAAAATGTAGGCATGATGAGGTGTATAAACCCCACATTAGAACTGAAGGGGTTAAGGAGCAGTGCTGGACCCAGGTGACTCTGCCCCCTGCACCTACAGAGCCTGCTCCAACTGGAGCAGGAGCTTAAAAGAGAACCAGACTGCCCACAGCTGAGCTGACAGGGTAGGGGCACAGGCCTGTTCTGACAGCTCCTGAGCAAGGCTGCTATAGATGCCATCACTGCAAGGAAGGGGCTAGCACTAAGCCAGCTATGCTGAGCGTTTCGTTGTTTGTTGTTGCTATCTTATGTTAGACTTGGAGATGTTGGGGGGAGGCCAGTGGCCCAGGGAAACAGCCTGAAAGCACTCCAGCATGCTTGATATTGTTGCCTCTCTTCCACCTCTTGTCTCTGCTGTAAGGAAGGGATAGAGATGTGGAGAGCCTCAAGGCAAGGGCGAGTCTCCTGCAGGAGAGGGCTGAAGACCTTCCCTTTGTGAGGGCATGGGACCGTATATATTCCTCTAGACTCTCCTTTTCTGGAAGGGGATGATTATTAATCAGTGACCACCAATTTGCAGTGCGATAGTTGCAGGCAAGGGGCACTGGAGGTGGCAGGGAGAAATGTCGAGGCCTGGCAACCTAACCACTAGGAAAAGTCACCTGTAAGCCCAGGGCCTCACCCCGTCATGGTGGGATTCTTTTTATTTGCCTTCTGGTTTCTGAACCTTTAGGGTGCACTCACTTCATATTTTCAAGCTTTTCTGTGCATCCATGAGAGTTAGAAACACTTTTTAAAATGAAATTTGACAGTCTCATACAATCTCTTGATTTCAGTTACTGGGCCTTTAAGAAAAACGCTAATGTATTGTATGACTCATGATGTAATTGTGAGAGTTGGCAACACTGCATAGCTACGAAATTAGGTAGAAGCCAGTTTGAACTAGTTAGAGGACTAGTTAGAGGACAACATTGCCCAATTGCTTTTTTAAAAATCTGTAATGAAAAGCCACACATGAATTTAAAAGATGTGGCCCCTTTTTCCCTTGTAATGATTCAAGAGAGAAGATCAATTTTCTGCATCCAAATTTAGGCCTTGTTACTGCAGTGACAGGTTTCAGAGTAACAGCCGTGTTAGTCTGTATTCGCAAAAAGAAAAGGAGTACTTGTGGCACCTTAGAGACTAACCAATTTATTTGAGCATAAGCTTTCGTGAGCTACAGCTCACTTCATCAGATGCATACTGTGGAAAGTGTAGAAGATCTTTTTATACACATAAAGCATGAAAAAATACCTCCTCCCACCCCACTCTCCTGCTGGTAATGGCTTATCTAAAGTGATCACTCTCCTTACAATGTGTATGATAATCAAGGTGGGCCATTTCCAGCACAAATCCAGGGTTTAACAAGAACGTCTGAGGAGGGGGGGGGTCCATTTATTCTTTTACATAGAAACTGTCCAGTTTGACCAATGTACATGGCAGAGGGGCATTGCTGGCACATGATGGCATATATCACATTGGTGGATGTTCACCTGCACATCCACCATTGGTCAAACTGGACAGTCTCTACGTAAAAGAATAAATGGACACAAATCAGATGTCAAGAATTATAACATTCATAAACCAGTCGGAGAACACTTCAATCTCTCTGGTCACGCGATTACAGACATGAAAGTTGCTATATTACAACAAAAAAACTTCAAATCCAGACTCCAGCGAGAAACTGTTGAATTGGAATTCATTTGCAAATTGGATACAGTTAACTTAGGCTTGAATAGAGACTGGGAGTGGCTAAGTCATTATGCAAGGTAACCTATTTCCCCTTGTTTTTTCCTGCCCCCCCCCCCCCCCCCCAGACGTTCTTGTTAAACCCTGGATTTGTGCTGGAAATGGCCCACCTTGATTATCATACACATTGTAAGGAGAGTGATCACTTTAGATAAGCTATTACCAGCAGGAGAGTGGGGTGGGAGGAGGTATTTTTTCATGCTTTATGTGTATAAAAAGATCTTCTACACTTTCCACAGTATGCATCCGATGAAGTGAGCTGTAGCTCAGGAAAGCTTATGCTCAAATAAATTGGTTAGTCTCTAAGGTGCCACAAGTACTCCTTTTCTTGTTACTGCAGTGAGATACACAATGAGATAGACTCCTGCCTTCCCATGGAGCCCAGTTGATTTTAATAGGGCTTTGCATTGGTAAAGGGGTTTACCTGCATGTGTCTTGTTGCAGAATCAGGGCCTTGAAAGCTATGGTGATAGGCACTTTAGACAGACATACTATGCCTCACTACAGTTTATTCATTAAACTGTAATTAAGGAAGACTTTAGAAATTCTGAATATCCTGACTGGCTTATATTGACATCCTACCCCCGCATATAATGTTCAATACATTCCCCAAGTCTAATTTGCACTCCTTTCTTCATGATATTCCATATTGGTAATCAGGCCCTCAGTCAAATGCATTTCTAGGGGATTATTACATATATGACACTGTTGAAGTCCTTGGGATCCATCTGAGACATGCAGCAGGCGTAGTCACCTGGAACTCACCTTTTACCTCTAATTGCTTGATTATTCTTTGCTAACCTTTTCTTGAGTGTGAGTTACACTTTACAAAGAGAACACACTGAATTGTTTTAATAATTAAACAGTAACGTAGTAACCTACCCAGCTCCAGCAACGCTAAACATTTAATAGTTAAACCTTTAACAGCTAAGCCACTTCAGCTAGATTCCCCTGTTTGTCACCTTCCTGCAGCATAATGAGGCTTTTTGGCCATTAAGGGAAGCATAAATCTCTTGCATTAGGTTTATAGCTGGCCAGTGCCATGACAGCGGATTCAGACATAATTCCAAATGAATGTTTCCAAGTGGGAACTTGAGTCATACTCAAATGATTTTACCTCTGTTTTTGTTTTTTGGCCCAATGGTTCTTAATTCCTTTAGTATTTATTACTGCAATAAACTTAATCCTGAGTAGTCATGCAGCATTAGTAGTGGAGCAATAAACACTTCTCCAGTGTTTCCATTGCAAATCAGCAGTAATTGGAGCTGCTGTTGCCTCATGGAAAACTTTTGAAAGAAATATTCCATGTGAAGACAGTTTTGCATTTCTGTCAATTTATTCTTTGTGTTTTCTGTCACCATGTAATGCTCTGTTCTTTCACTTCACTGCAGGCTGAGTTCTCAGAGCTGAACCTGGCTGCTTACGTTACTGGTGGCTGCATGGTGGACATGCAGGTCATGAGGAATGGCACCAAGGTAGTAAGGTGAGAAAGTCTGACTTTCTTTGCATATCTTTCTTTTTAGAGAGATGTGAGAGCAAGAAGGATGAGCCAGGTGCCTGGCCACAGCCCACTGAGGTCAATGGACAGGCTCCCATTGGCTTTGATGGGCTTTGGATCAGGGCCCAAATGTACATTACTTCCTAGTTTTGTTGTTTTCTATCCTCACTTTTCCCCACCCATTAATTTAGGCAGAAACGTCCCATTCTCATAATCTTTTGTACTTCAGGTCTGATGGTACTGCCAATGGGCAATGGTCTTCATTTCACCTTTCCCTCTCGTATTTTCCTGCTGACTCACTTCGACTGTAAATACTGCCTTGCACGCACAGCCAGCCCCATATATGTTCCACTTTGATGGGGACAGTCTGCTTGAATATCTGCAGGTCTGGTGGCTGCAGAATACTTCTGTGTATGTCCTCTACTAACCTGTCTGCTTCTCAGCACCATCTTCCTTAGGGAAGATTTTCCTCTTCAACATTGCCTTCTGCGCTGCCTCAGGGCAGGATGCCACCTCTCAGGCTGTTGGAGATTTCTGTAGTTGTTAGCATTTCAGAATAACCACCTTGCATCAACCACAGTCTACTGCAGGCAAAGACACATCCCGTAGTGTTGCTCTCTGTTCATCCTGGCCATCTATCCATTTCATGAGTTAGACAGCATTAGTCCACTTCTTTCTGGTACTGAGGTGCCCAGAATATCAATATGGTATGTTAGGTGAAATCTGACCTAAGTCATATATAGAGCAATGATCACCTCTTTGTTTCATGATGTGAATGACATTGTATATGCTGCCCCCAAATCACGTTTTTCCCCAAGTTCACTTCATAGTTTGTTCTGTCATTACCATTTTTCAAATTTTATTTTGTTTTCTTTACCCTTACATTTGTTCAGGTTGGAAATTTAATTGTCTTCTTCCCTACCCATTTTTATAACCACTGTAAGTTGCTCAATGAGTTGTATGACAGACCCAAATACCGTATCTTAAGTAGATGCTCTCTACCGTATTCTTCTACAGCATTAATATGGATGTTAAAATCGATCAGATCTCACACTGATGATCACTGGAACATCCCACTAGACATATCCCACAAACTTGATACACCTCTGTTGAGCTTTGTTTATAGTTCTCCAGCCATTTTTCAGTGATTGTGACCATGCTTGTATCTATGCAAATTTCCAGTGATTTTTCCATGTAAGATTTCGTGAGTCTGTGTTAAATATTTAAAATTCAGATCTATGACAACCATTGTGTTCACTTGTCCCACTAATTTTTGCCTCCCAATGCACAAATTATTTCCATAGAATCATAGAATATCAGGGTTGGAAGGGACCTCAGGAGGTCATCTAGTCCAACCCCCTGCTAAAAGCAGGACCAATCCCCAATTAAATCATCCCAGCCAGGGCTTTGTCAAGCCTGACCTTAAAAACTTCTAAGGAAGGAGATTCTACCACCTCCCTAGGTAACGCATTCCAGTGTTTCACCACCCTCCTAGTGAAAAAGTTTTTCCTAATATCCAACCTAAACCTCCCCCACTGCAACTTGAGACCATTACTCCTTGTCCTGTCCTCTTCTACCACTGAGAATAGTCTAGAACCATCCTCTCTGGAACCACCTCTCAGGTAGTTGAAAGCAGCTATCAAATCCCCCCTCATTCTTCTCTTCTGCAGACTAAACAATCTCAGTTCCCTCAGCCTCTCCTCATAAGTCATGTGTTCCAGACCCCTAATCATTTTTGTTGCCCTTCGCTGGACTCTCTCCAATTTATCCACATCCTTCTTGTAGTGTGGGGCCCAAAACTGGACACAGTACTCCAGATGAGGCCTCACCAATGTCGAATAGAGGGGAACGATCACGTCCCTCGATCTGCTCGCTGTGCCCCTACTTATACATCCCAAAATGCCATTGGCCTTCTTGGCAACAAGGGCACACTGCTGACTCATATCCAGCTTCTCGTCCACTGTCACCCCTAGGTCCTTTTCCGCAGAACTGCTGCCTAGCCATTCGGTCCCTAGTCTGTAGCTGTGCATTGGGTTCTTCCGTCCTAACTGCAGGACCCTGCACTTATCCTTATTGAACCTCATCAGATTTCTTTTGGCCCAATCCTCCAATTTGTCTAGGGCCTTCTGTATCCTATCCCTGCCCTCCAGCGTATCTACCACTCCTCCCAGTTTAGTATCATCCGCAAATTTGCTGAGAGTGCAATCCACACCATCCTCCAGATCATTTATGAAGATGTTGAACAAAACCGGCCCCAGGACCGACCGCTGGGGCACTCCACTTGACACCGGCTGCCAACTAGACATAGAGCCATTGATCACAACCCGTTGAGCCCGACAATCTAGCCAACTTTCTACCCACCTTATAGTGCATTCATCCAGCCCATACTTCTTTAACTTGCTGACAAAAATACTGTGGGAGACCATGTCAAAAGCTTTGCTAAAGTCAAGAAACAATACATCCACTGCTTTCCCTTCATCCACAGAACCAGTAATCTCATCATAGAAGGCGATTAGATTAGTCAGGCATGACCTTCCCTTGGTGAGTCCATGCTGACTGTTCCTGATCACTTTCCTCTCATGTAAGTGCTTCAGGATTGATTCTTTGAGGACCTGCTCCATGATTTTTCCGGGGACTGAGGTGAGGCTTACTGGCCTGTAGTTCCCAGGATCCTCCTTCTTCCCTTTTTTAAAGATTGGCACTACATTAGCCTTTTTCCAGTCATCCGGGACTTCCCCCGTTCGCCACGAGTTTTCAAAGATAATGGCCAATGGCTCTGCAATCACAGCCGCCAATTCCTTTAGCACTCTCGGATGCAACTCGTCCGGCCCCATGGACTTGTGCACGTCCAGCTTTTCTAAATAGTGCCTAACCACCTCTTTCTCCACAGAGGGCTGGCCATCTATTCCCCATGTTGTGATGCCCAGCGCAGCAGTCTGGGAGCTGACCTTGTTAGTGAAGACAGAGGCAAAAAAAGCATTGAGTACATTAGCTTTTTCCACATCCTCTGTCACTAGGTTGCCTCCCTCATTCATTAAGGGGCCCACACTTTCCTTGGATTTCTTCTTGTTGCCAACATACCTGAAGAAACCCTTCTTGTTACTCTTGACATCTCTCGCTAGCTGCAGCTCCAGGTGCGATTTGGCCCTCCTGATTTCATTCCTACATGCCCGAGCAATATTTTTATACTCTTCCCTGGTCATATGTCCAACCTTCCACTTCCTGTAAGCTTCTTTTTTATGTTTAAGATCTGCTAGGATTTCACGTTAAGCCAAGCTGGTCGCTTGCCATATTTACTATTCTTTCGACACATTGGGATGGTTTGTCCCTGTAACCTCAACAGGGATTCCTTGAAATACAGACAGCTCTCCTGGACTCCTTTCCCCTTCATGTTAGTCCCCCAGGGGATCCTACCCATCCGTTCCCTGAGGGAGTCGAAGTCTTCTTTCCTGAAGTCCAGGGTCCGTATCCTGCTGCTTACCTTTCTTCCCTGTGTCAGGATCCTGAACTCAACCAACTCATGGTCACTGCCTCCCAGATTCCCATCCACTTTTGCTTCCCCTACTAATTCTTCCTGGTTTGTGAGCAGCAGGTCAAGAAAAGCTCCCCCCCCAGTTGGCTCCTCTAGCACTTGCACCAGGAAATTGTCCCCTACGTCCCCCCCTTCCATGCTATGTGAATCCAAACCACTGGTGCATCCATCAGCTGGTGGTCAGTGCCAGTCTACTCCTTTGTTCACTCACACACAAAACTGGAATGCTCTCCAATAAGATCACCTGTATTGATCCCATTTTCTTTTCTCTTCCCATGCCCTTCCCATGGTCTATCAAAACTTTCCTTCATTTATTAAACTGTTACTGGCAATAAAACTTTGTGTCCGAAAAAGGGGGTGTCTTTTGTTTGGGGTGAGTGAGTTGTCTGTATTATTGGGTGTCTTTCTGGATGGGTGTTTATATATGAGAAAGAGTATGTGTGTATCTGGCTGTGGCAGTGGTGTGTACGCGTCTTTGTGTTTGTCCTTGTGTGCTTGTAGATGTGGATATTTGTATGGTGGGGGTGACTTGGTGGGTGGGTGGGTGGGAATCTGTATGGGTGCCTTGCATAAGTGGATCTGGTCATGTGTTATATCTATTTGGACGTATCTCAGCTTTGACATACTAGTGCACACATGCAGCATTTGTTCACCATATGTGCTGGTATGGCCCCCTGCTTAGCTCACTTGGGACCATAGAACAGCTGTCTTATATTACCACCCTTGGAGCAGGTTAGAAGACACAGAGAATGAAAAAGAAATTCTCTCTCACTTTGGGAAGCTAAGAAAGGAGAACACTCATACGTCTTGTGGAAAGACTCTTCCCTCCCTCCAGCCTTGGTCAGAAGAGAATTCCCACACTATTCAAATTCTTCTGTGTGGGGCTGGAGAACAGATTTGTAGGAAATCACTAGGTTTATCATACTGTGTATCACTGGGAACTCTCATTCTTTGTCTTATCCCATAGATGCTCTCCAACCCTCATGCCTACCAAAAGTCAAGCTAAGAGAAGAGGAGAAAACATTGGACAATGTTCGGTGTTATTTTTCCGGATGACGCATACAGCTGTCACACTTCACTCATTCACTCCAAACCTGCCTCTCCTACCTTCCTCCCCACGCTCTTCCCCTCTGTCTTGTCCTCCTCACACCAGTCCCTCCCTTTGTCTTTCCATTTAGCTAATACCCTACTCATGACAACCTGCCCAAAAAATTAAAATCAATAGTATTGTGGCACTAACATAACACTTGCCACCATCACACTGTTCACTTTGCATGTGTGTTATGCTCCATTCCCTTACCTTTTTGTCTGTCATGTCTCCTATCTGTGTTTATACAGTGTCTAGCACAATGGGGCCCTGTTCTTGGTTGGTCTTTAGGCACTCCCATAATAACCTCATAATTTATACTGCTCATAAACATGAAAATATATATACGTGCCAATTGTGTGTGTG